TAATATAGTGTGACCTCATTAAGTCGAAAACCTTCAAAACTCGAAAAAAGTTTTGTTCCCTTCCCTTCAAGCCTCAAAACCTCCATTACTCGAAATCTCAACCCTCTATTAGTCAAAATAACCAGTGAATCCCTGCAAACCATTTTGGTACATATGTATTTTCCCTCTATAACTCGAAAAATTAAATTGGACCTCTGCATCTCGAACATAGCAATATTTTATTTTACAACCTTTACAACTCGATGATTTGAAACTTCTTACGTCTATAGTTCGAAGAAAAATAAGTTATCGACTTTAAAGATTTGCCGACAATGTAAGTACACCAAATCTTAACCTCTACAAGTCGAATCAAAATCCTCCATAACTCTAAGTTCTACTGTATATCATAATGAAGATATGGCTTCTTTGGGTCATCTACCTGCTTATGTATTAATTAAACGTATAGTATCGTAACATGAATTTCTTTGATCAGGACGTAAACATGTCATGACCTAGCTGAAGATATAAATTGGTAGCAATGTTGTTTACCCTTTTAACCGACCAAAAAACAGCACAAAGTCTAGCTTGCGCCGCATTCTAACATTTTTATTTTATTAAGATTAAATGCAACCAAGTTGATAGCTTCATATCTCATGAACATTTTTTAACTTGGGTTTCTTAAAAAGCATTGATTTGAAAAATGTTATGTATAAATTATTGAAAAAATATTGATCTTTTTTACGCAAAAAATATGGTTTTCATATATTATACAATTTTCCTCAATATTTAATGTAAAATAAGCGTATAAACAAGTAAATGAGCAATTATTAAGCAGGTAGGTAGATCGCAAGGATTGGAAGAGTGATCGATATCTCAAAGATGTACGAAGAAGGAAAACATTTAATCTGGCCCGTGCCTCCTCTTCATTTGTCCGGTACGAATGGAGCCAAGCGATTAAAATGGACTACCTCCGGCTTCCCATTTGGAGTTTTCTTAATTCGGTAGATCACGTCGTTAATCCTCTTCACTATCTCATAGGGTCCTTCTCAATTTTGTTGGTGAATGTCTACGGCGACGACGAGGATTATACAACCAAACAAGATCTCCAGTTTAGTAACCACCTACTGTAGCCTTGATATCGTAGTTTTCTTTGATCCTGTCACAAGCAATCTGCGTATGCAGACGAACCGACTCGTGGACATCGTTAAGCTTTCTTAGGAGGTTGGTAGCATAGTCTTCTCCAGCCAAGTCATCTCCTGCTTTACAGCCGAGTTTGAGGTCACAAGGTAGTCGTAACTTCCTTGCAAAAAGGAAACTGGCCATTGAAAATAAAGGCAAATAGCGTTCCTAGTCCCTTTGGTGATCAGACACTACCTTGGAGAGATATTTAATCAAGGTCCGATTCATTTGCTCAACCATGCCGTCCGATTGTGGATGGAGTGGAGCAGTTCGAGTTATCTTTATTCCTAGGAGCTCGCATATTCCACAGAATATAGTCGATTCGAAATTCCTCCCTTGGTCTGAGTGCAACTCCAAGGGCACCCCAAAACGACTGATCAACTCTTTCACCAGCTCCTCAACTATGGTTTCCGACTCCTGGCTCGGAAGGGCATAGGCTTCAACCCACTTAGTAAAATAGTCTAAAACGACCACGATGTGTTGTGTTACCTTTCTCGGACTCTCGAAATGGACCCGCCACATTACAATAAAATCGCTCTCGAACTTTCCCAAGCGTCTTATTCACTCCAAAATGGTCACCAGATGATCAATCATGAAGATACTGCAACACTTCTCTAACCTTGTTTCGAGGAATAACCAGTTGCTTCCTATCATCCTCTCCATCTGAACCGTCAACAACACGCTTCAGGATACCATCCTCCAAAACCATTGAGTCCCACTGAGCCCATAACGATTTTAGTACTTGCGTACAGGAAGAAATTTGCTGCCACGTTGGTTGTTTTCCGTCTCTTTTCCATCACCTTCTTCAAGTACTTTTCCTACACTGCCTTCTCGTATGACCTAGTTCGCCGCAATTCCAACATCTTACATTTCTTTATCGAACTTGCAGATGGCAGACGGTTTCTTCTAAAGATTCTGATGAATCCGTTTCTTCACACAGTAGCCGAACCCTTTCCCAATGCATGAGCCAATGCATCAGCTAGCGCCTTAGGCCGGTCAAGGCGTATTCGTTGTTGAGTGTCACTGTCCCGAAGTTTATCAGTAAATGCCTCCACTGCCAACCTTTCCATCAATTCTTCTGGAATATTAGGATAGACCAGTCGAGACAGTCTCGCAATATCAGCCTCGAATTCTTGTAGGGATTTCGTTGGTTTCTGCTGACGGGTTTTCAGTTGGATGTGATACACCGCTGTTAAATGAGCCTCGCCGTGGCGCAACTCTAACCGTTTTACCAACTGTTCATAATCCGTCAATTCTTCCGGGAAAAGGGTATTCAAAATGTCAGATGCATCTTCACGAAGCGCAACGATCAACGCAGTGGCTTTTTCTTCAGTCGCCCAGTTATTCGGCTTAGCAGCCGCCTCGAATTGCTTGTGGTATGTGGTCTATGAGGACTTTCCGTTAAACGTTGGTGGTTTTACTCGTGTTCTTGACTCTATACCGCTTCCTTGGCTGATTTGGCTCGCTTCGTTGAGTGTACTAGATGCGCCAACAACCCCTTCGATTGGTTTTATCTTTCCATTAGAAATCAATTCTTCCAGCACTTTTATTTTCTTTTCTGTTTCTTGAATATTCTTATTAAATTTTTCTTTTCTTCTTCTTTCACGTTTCAAACATTCACTATTTTCTTCCAATTTATTTCCAGGCTTTTACTGTTTTCTTCCAATTTATTTTCCGAATTTTTCTGTTTTCTTCCAATTCACATTTCAAACTTTTCATCATTTGCGACAATTCGTCTTCGAATGGGAACGTTTCAGGACCATGGCCAACCTATTTCAACGCCTCCGCAAGCCGCCACTGAAGTTCCGCTTTATTACCGCTTGTCGCTTCATCCCGTTCTTCCAATTCTCTTCTTAACTCGGTTACTTTTAATTCGTACAAGTTCTTTGCCTTTGTAATGTCTTTTACTCAACCCCACACCTGACACCAGTTGTAATGCTCGTGAGTTTAACAGAATTACTTCTAAGACTGATAACGACAAGAACTATTTATTTACACTAATGTTAATATATCACTATTCACTGCACTATTTATTTCACTGCTATCACTGTAAATTTATTTCTAGATTCACTTCTGCAACGGTCAATTTATTTCTTCCTCTTTCGGCGATAATCTCTTCCTTTAAATACTCTTTTGTTTACTTTCGGGAACCTTCTGGAAAACGTCCGGATAGTTTATTTTTTCTTTGAACTGTTTGAAGAATGAAGAAAGGCGCCCGCGGCTAGTCGGCGAATCGATAATCCGTTCACGCACACATGTACCCGATCGCACACAAACACGCTCGTGCTCGCTACACTATATTAAAAATGATGTAGGGGCAATTATTNAGGCAGGTTCTGAAAATACAACTTCAGTTAAATGATGCAATAACCATTTATGTAAAAGGTCAAGAGAAAGTCAAATGCATTCAAGATGTTCTGGATGATAAAAGTATTAATATTATTAACTTAGAAGATCTGTAATGTCCGTCATTTGAAAACCTAAAAAATTACTACTTAATTCATCTTGTTATTTACATGATTTTATACATAAAATATCAGAGTGTGCCAGAGAAAAAGTAAAATTATTAATAATTTTTTTAAAAAATCTAGCAAGCCAATAATAATAACTGGAAAGATTGTGGTAAAGCATTGTTTTTCATTTTTTTTTTGTGTACAACATGCAGATACATACATACGTAAATGCATACATATTACTATCTGCTGATTACAGCACATCCTGCGTGCTAAGAAAAAGGTATAGAGCTAACTCTTTTCTGAATCCAACGTTTTAATTTTTTATATATACGCATATTTACATACATAATGTCTGTTTGTGTAAGTCTATAGAAGAAATTGACATTAATTTTTTATTTCTGATACATAAATACATACAAGCATACTTACATACATACATACTACCTGTTTATGTAAGTTGGTAGTAAAAATTGACATGTTTTGTTTTTATTTCCCTGTATATATATTAAAATGATTTAACAAATGTAGATGTGAGATTTTTGGGTGAATAATCTCGAGTTTGTTTTTAATAACGATTAATAGTCCAAATTACCGTTTATTAACTTTAAACGTAAGTGACTAAATAATAGGTTTACACCTGACAAAAGCTTATTAGAGAATACTCTCGAACAAATTAAACAAAAGAATCGTTGAACTAGTCGGTTTGCTTCATTTGGTCCAGCAGTTCCCCGGGATTTGAGTTATCTTCCAGCGCTGGTCGGCGCCGAAACCATAATATAAACAGGTGATATGATAAAGAGTTCGTGAGAATGCTCACATACATATATCAATTATATAAAATGTAAATATAAATCGGTCGTATATAGTTAGAATTAACGCAATTGTAAATAAACCGTAATTTTATCAGAAAAATGAAATATTTCTTTGAGTAAATAGCCTATTTGGTTTATGGTTTGTATGTATATATGTATGTATGTATATATAACTGTAGTTCTCTATCTTTTTATAACTAAAGTGCTGGTAAAACGAGATGAACCATGGTTACAATTATTTTACCAATACAGAATTTTATTTTCAAAATCTTTATTGGAGGGAAAATTCAATTCTGGCCTAGCCTTGTTTACGCTCCACTGTTTCCATCTCGTTTGATAAAATTCAATAAGTAATAACTTTAAGCGGAAAATTCAAATAAATACAGGCTCAATCTACATGATGGAGAGTCCATGACCAACATATGGCAGCCCATTAGTTCCACTACTGCTACTATACCAACCGGCTCTTAGAATCATAGAAGCTTCAATAAAACCAAATATGAAAAGACGTATCTTTTACGGTAGAGAAACGCAAACAAATTTGAATAAACGTGCTGTAAGGACAAAGTAAGTACCTTAACAAATGCATCTTTACGTCTGAAAAAGTAGTACAATGAAATAAGAAACAAGCCATTTTTATATTAGCAATGTTTTATTTTTCTAGTATCATTCTTGAACTTTTCTTTCAAGAAATGTTTTAAAAATTAATCTGGTTATTTCTGGAACAAATTCACCTTTTAGTACAGTCTCAATTGCAAATAAACAACCTTCTAAGTTCCATGTCACTTTGAATTTCTTGTCTTCACTCTACAAAAAAAAATTTTAAATAAAACACAAAAAAGTTTCAACAATAAAAATATAATAAAACTCGACAGTTGTTTCGACCTATCTTCAAGAGCACAGAAATATGTAACATATTTATGTACACTTGAAAATGACTGAATAGGCCGAAACAATTGTCGATTTGTTTTATTATATTTTTATTGTTAAAACCTTCTTGTGTTTTATTTCAATATTATTAACTTGATTTGCATCCCTGTCTCGTAATATAGGCTATGCCGTAAATTTAAATAACAGCAAATACCAGCGAATGACTATATCTGCCTAAAATTCGATATTACACCCATATTGCCTCTTCGTAATATTATTAGTGCATTACAGCATACTTTTCAACCAAACGAATGCAATGAAGGTAGTTGCAATAATTTCACTGAAAACTTCTCATCAAAACGTACTAAAAGGTTTACTACATTTATGATAGCTTTCTTTATAAATACAGTAAAATCTCCTTAAATCGAACCTCGATAAGTCGAACATCTCCAAAACTCGAAAAAATGTTTTGTTCCCT